GCGCTACACAGAGAAATCCTGTCTTGAAAAAGCAAAATAAATAAAAATAGGGAAAATTGTCTATCGATAGGAGTAAATAATTACTGGAATTAAAATTCAAAATACTAAGAAATAGGGAGGGGTTGGGTCCTGTTGTAGAATATTATTTTAAGATGTGTTACATATCTTTATGTTGCGGAACATTTGTTTTAATGATGTAAAGATGTGTCACATTCTTTTAAGTTGCATTTGTTTAACTCTGTGAAGCTGTGATTCTTAGCCTCTAAAATACACCTAATGGTCTAATAAAGAGCTGAACAGCCAATAGTGAGGCAAGAGAAAGGATAGGCGGGGCTGGCAGGCAAAGAGAATAAAAAGATGAAATCTGGGATGATGAGGAGGAACAAGAGAACAAGGAGGGGAGGACATTAGAGGCCAGCCACCCAGTCAGCCAGCCACCCAGCCATCCAGCCACCCAGTCACCCAGCCACCCAGCCACCCAGCCACCCAGCCATCCAGCCACCCAGCCACCCAGCCACACAGCCACCTGGCTACACAGCAAGTCACGGAGTAAGAGTGAAAGTAAGAAATACAAAAGTAAGAAAAGGAAAAAGCCCAGAAACAAGAGGTAGAATAATTTAAGAGAAGCTGCCTAGCCTAGCAACAAGCCAAGCTAAGGCAGAACTCTTAAGAAAGAATAAGACTCCATGTGAGATTTATCTGGGAGCTGAGTGGTGGTCCCCCTCAAAAAGCCAAAAGAGTAAAAACAAAACAAAACAAAACAAAACAAAACAAAAAACAACCACCACCACCACCAACAACAACAAAAAAACCCCAAAAACCAAACAAACAAAAAACAGAATCCAGGTGTGGTGGCACACACATCTGTAATCACAGATTTTTAGACATTGAGGAAAATTAGTTTAAGGTCATCTTCAGCTACATAACAAGTTCCGAGCCAGCCTAGACTAGACGAGACCCTGTTTTGCCTCCCACCCAAAGAAAAGGGTGTTATATTTTATTAATGTTTATGTGTATGGGTGCTTTGCCTGGATGCGCACTATGTATGCAGTGTCTGTGGAGACCAGGAGAGGGCGGTGGATCCCCGAGAACTAGCGTTGGAGTCACAGCTGTGGAAGAGCAGAGCCGGCTCCAGCTCCTAGCGGTTTGTTTGCTCTCTCATTGTCACCGTAGCGCCAGCCTGACTGCAGCCTCCCAGGCCCTCCAGCTCTTCCAGGAGTAAACTAATGGAACTATTTCGAAGATACAAGCAACTGTTGGGACGCGTTTCCTTCTCAGGAATCTGCAGGGTGCATTCTCTCCCACACCCTGGGCTCCTCTGCTTGGATTGCTTCAGTGTTCTCCTGTAAGGTGAAAAGTCTGAGCTCACTTCCAGGGTTTGAAACCCCACCAATTCCTGAACTAAAAAAAAAAAAAAATCCATCAACCCCTCAAACTCACCAATCCCTGGGCTCGCTCCAAGCTCAGGACTTGAGATCACATCAATCCTTACCCAAGCCCCAGAACACCGAAAACCCCACCCCCCAAAACTCTATCTAAGCCTGTCTCCTGCTCAGTCTCCTGCAGCTCCTCGCCTCAGCAGAGGCAGCCACCCTCTTGTGTGTCTCCCAATAGATCTCTTGCGGAAGGTTTGTTATTGAAGGGACACCGGCCCACTTGAGCATGTGGCTCTAGCAGGCCTTTCTTGCCCCCCCCCCATTTCCTCCGCATTGTTAAAAACCATTAATTATTTCTAAAGCCAGCCATCAAGGTCTAGTCCCTTATTTGGCCACTTCCTCCTCCTGAGGTCCAGCTATCGAAAAGCCCCCTTTCGTTCCCCTAATTAACATCCCCAATCAAAATATACCGCAGCGTTTTAGCCCATTCTAACACAGACCTCCCCCTTTTCTTTCTTAAAATTTAGACCTGTAAGGTCATTTGTTGTTTTCTGAATCAGAAAGCAACCACTTTAATTTTTTTCCCCTGCTTAATAAAGCGTCTCTCTGTGAAAACAGGTGTTTGTGGTTTGTGCCTGCTTGGGGGGGGGCCCCCGCCCCCCCCCCCCCCCCCCGGGGGGGGGGGAGGGGGAGTGGAGGGGGACATTCCTTCAGTTGTGCAGTGTGACTTTGTGATAGTCCTTGGCTCCAGACTGTCAAGATACCTTTCCCCTAAGAGCTGTAACACTGTCACTCCAAGATTACCCAGCCAGCCAGTCTCCATATTGAAAACCCACTGTTGAAACAGTCCTTGTGGGTTCACTTTCTTTTACCTCTTTTGCATATGTATTTTGCCTGCATGTGTCTCTGTGCATCACATGTGGCTGGTGCCCAAGAAAGCCAGAATTACAGATGTCTGTATGCCAACATGTGGGTACTGGGAATTGAACCTGGGTCCTCTGGAAGAGCAGCCATATCTCCAGCCCCGGCTTTTTGTTTGTTTGTTTTTTGTTTTTCGAGACAGGGTTTCCCTGTGTAACAGTCCTAGCTGTCCTGGAACTAGCTCTTGTAAACCAGACAGGCCTCAAACTTACAGGGATTCACCTGCCTCTGCCTCTACAGTGCCGGGATTAAAGGTGTGCGCCACCACCAATCGGCCAGCCCGCTTTATTTAGTTTTTATTTGCTTTTTGAAACAAGGTCTTATTTTGTAACACTGTCTCCAGCCTTGGCTGACCTGGAGAACTACCTGCATGAGCTAGTACATTAACTTTACCAAAATGTTTTTTTCCTGTAGACCTCTATTGCAGGTTGTTTTGTTTTGTGAATCAGTGAGGTTTTTGAGGCTACCTACAGCATGGGTGAGGGATTGCTTACAGGCCCGTGGTGACTCAAAGAAGCTGCTCAATCACTGAAAGCCCTCTCCAGAGTGGGTACCACTCACCAAAGCTGCATCCAAGGCACTCCGGGTCCAACCTGCAGGCTGATCCACCAAAGAATGTTCTCTCCGTCAGTGACTGCTACTGTTTATATAACCTTGGTGGGGTTGTTCACTTTGTATTTCTGAGGCAGGGTCTTTAGAACCCCAGGGCAGAGAAGCTGTAAATCTCAGGTTGGCTTCTAATTCCTGTGTACCTGATGGATCCTGATTCTTCTGCCCATTCCAACTAGTGGAATAATAGTCTCAAATACACTCTCTCCACCCCACCATGTTACCAAGTGTTAAACCTAAGACCTTGGGGCTGTCAGGCAAGTACTCAACCAGTGAGTTCTATCTCCACCTCTTTTTTGGGGGGATGAAACAGGGTTTCTGTGTGTACCCCAGTTGTTCTGAAATTCATGCTGTAGATCAGGCTGGTTTTGAACTCAGAGATCTGCCCGCCTCTGCCTCCTGAGTACTGGAATTAAAGGTGTGCGCACCTTCTTTGATCCAGTTTTTTGTTCACAACAGGGCTGTAGGTCTGCCACTATCCTATCTGGAAAGTCTAAACTTTGTTTCAAGTGATTTAAAGATATATCAAAATAAAAATAATTCAAAAATTTCAATGTTCCATTTTTCTTTGCTGAAAATAATTCCTAATTTAAAATTCTTTTAACTAGCTAGTTGTAGTCGTCTGTGCCGCTACACAAATGCTAAAAAGGCAGAAAATACAAGGATCCCAAAAGTTCAAGGAAGGCCAGATTATTCCTCACAGTTAAGAGGGTAGCAGGGTCTATGAACAAGATCAATGTACACTCCATTCATGTATGAGAATGGCATATAATTTATACCCATTATGCATGTTCTAATAAAAAATTAAAAAGCTAAACATGGCAAAAAGCAGCCAGATGGAGTACAAGCTGAGCTTTCTAAACAATATGGAGTATTTTTAAAACATTTAACATTACTTTGACTAGTTATTTTCAACATGATTCAGAATTCCAAAGTATTCAAAAGAAGCATTTTTGAGAAACTCTCTGCTGTGCCTTTCCTCTTTTGGTTTTTTTTTTTTTTTTTGAGACAGGGTTTCTGTTACAGTCCTACCTTTCCTGGAACTAGCTCTTGTAGACCAGGCTGGCCTTGAACTCAAGAGATCTGCCTGCCTCTGCCTCCCGAGTGCCAGGATTAAAGGTGTGCACTGCCACCTCCCAGCTTGTGCCTTTTCTCTTAATTCTCATAATCTTTACTAAAAAATGCCTTGTAGGACAAGACGGTTTGGCAGTCCAGTGTTAAGAACTACTTCCACATGCTGCAACACACAGCTTCCTATCTGCACAATAAATAAATGTAATTTTTTTTTTATGTAGCTATGTAGCTCTGGTTGTCCTGGAACTATGTAGACCAGGTTGGCCTCAAACTGAGATCTGCCTGCCTGTCTCAAGTGCTCAGATTAAAGGCATGCACCACGATGTCCAGCAACTATGTTCTTAAATTTTATGGTAGTTTTGTTATAATGAGTAACTTCTAATTTTTATGTAGCCAATTTTTGTTTTGGCTTTTGAGACAGAGTTTCACGTGGGCTGGGAATGTAGCTCAGTGAAAGAATGCTTACCTAGCATGTATGAGGCTGTGGGTTTCCCCTCTAGCACCACAAACAGGGTCTTATATGCAGCCCAGCTTAGCCACCAAATAAAAATCCTCATGCCTTAGCCTCAATAGGTCTGGCATGTACCACCTCGTTTGTCGCCATTTTTTTTTTACTACAGTATAGTAAAATAAGCATGAGTCAATTTTTCATTAATCATTCTTTTAATTAATTATATTTATTTTTAGAACTCAGAGATACCCCTGCCTCTGCCTCCCAAGTACTGGGATTAGTTAGGCATGTACCACCATGCCTGCCCTCTTTTTAATTTTTTGATTTAACATCTGCACAGTGTTAATACTCTGATAAAACTGAATGTTTTCCACATGAGGAAAAAACAGTTCACTAATGACCAATAAAAATATAATACTTTCTAACACAAAGGCATAAACAGGAACAACAGAAAGGTTAAAGGAGAAACTACAAATCTCAAAACCAACTTCAGTCAGGACAACTTCCCCACGGAGTAGCAGGTGGGTAAGTGTATAAATTCTAACCATAGCACTGTTTTTCTTCGTTCCTTTGGTCATGAACTATTCCACAAAGATTCAATGTGATAACTTTAAATTTGGAGTTCCAACACTTAAAGTTAAAAAAATATACCAAGATAAACATAAAAACAATCTTAAAACTTGGAAGAAAAACTCAAATGACAAAAATGTGGATCAAGTCAAACACTGCAGCAGGACAGCGAGTTCACTGTGTTAACAGCAAGTGGACGCCAGGACCCAGAAGAAATGCTAGCGGATATGGTCTGCTGAAAGCTATTTGTCTTAACAAAGGGAAAGGTAACAGTAGAAGTTCAAATTTCACAAGATAAAGTCAGGTCCCTTTGGATTTACCTTTCAGGGCAAGCCTGGACAAACCCCACATACCATTTCCAATCTCTGCACACAAACACAAAGTCTGGGCCAGTAAGCGTTGAGGGGCAGGATGTCCAACAGAAGCCTATGGGACACTTTTCCTGCAGTAAATTCCTTTCTCTAGATCAGTAAAAATATCCCAATATTTGCCAAGATACCATGGTGTGAAAAGCTGTAGACCCAAGCATTTCTGTCACAGGGAACCCGCTGCCTGTCTGGACCCAGGTTCTGCTATAGTTCCGGTGACCCTAACTGCTGACCCACCACTCAGCCCCATCCCACTCTTCAACCCTTTTGTGTTAGCAACCGAGCAGCCTTTTTGTCAACTAGTCAGTATAGATCCTGATCCACCCTAAATCACAGGAAACGCTAGAACGCTCAGATTAAAGCAGGTATGGGAATGGTTAGGTTCCTCACCCCTTCATAACAAAAGGCAGGCCGAAAGACTTTTGGAAAGGGAATGACACCTGAAGATGTCCTGGCCTAGGCATTCTTATACCTGTAAAGACTGTCGCAGTTAGAGCATAGCAGTTATTGATAACAGAAACAATTCTTAAGGACCTTTCCTTATCACTGATTTTTGCAGAAATGTATTTGTAAATTCTTCCTTGTAACCACCCCTTAAAACAAGAGTAAGTGTGCTTGCTGAGCAGAAATTGACGACACATCTCAAGATCTTATGATGGAAAAGTGCGAGTTTTACAATACAGCTTTACTAGATTACAGAATACTCTTTACCCGTGCTTTGTTTGGTTTATCTCTGAAACATCTGAAGAATACTTTTCTGTGAATTACTAGGCTGTTGGGAATAAGTGCGTTTAGATACATTACTACAATCATCTTTAGCTGAATGTGGCATCTTTCTTCCATTGACTGACCCCTTCCATGTGCTTTTGAAGGGCTGCCTATACTCATCTTCTGTGCCCCTCTGAGATTTGGAATGCTCTGCATCAGTCTGCTTTACGGAGTTCCTATCTTTGGAGTTCTTCCTCTGTCTGTGCAGCAGCCTGTCTGGGGGTGAAGATGTGCGCAGCTGGTACTGATTCGGGGAGCCTTTCTGCCGGTTGAGCATCACTTGCTCTTTATCCACCTCCTTCTGAAGCTGTAATGCTAACAATCGGTCCTGTTCTTCTTGCTTATGTCTCTCAAAAAGCATACGCTCCAAATCTATCAGTTTTTGTGTAAAATTCACTTCTGTTTCTTCTTGATCTGAGGATTTGAGGAATATTTTCCTTCTTTTTGCAGAAAAGCATGGATCCATGACTGCTTCAAACACAGATTCCTGGTTTTCTCTTTCGGAAATCTCTTTTCCAACTACTAGATGATACCCTCTACTTTCTGGAACTCTGTTACCATCAGCTAACGGGGTCATAGTGGACAGAGAGCACTCTTCATTTTCTACTTTACCAGAAGGCTTAACTGTAGCTTCGTTAGAGGAGTAAACTTTGGCTCTAGAGTCCTCATGATTTACAAGACATACATCATCAGGATTGGTTGACAGTGTTTCAGCTGCTCCTTCAAGGCACTGTTCGACGCCCCTGGCACATATCCATGGCACAGGTGACTCCACTAAAGACTCCGAACCTTGTTCTTGAGTTTCTAGGTAAACCTGTGGAGAAAGTGTTGGCATATCATCTTTTTCAATTTCTGTGTCTTGATACACAGGGCTCTTCATGTCACTACTGTCAATTTCCTGCAGAAAATAAAATTACTGATTACATAAAGGGAAACCGTACTATATAAACCTTCTACATTGACACCATAGGTGAACACTATCACATTACTAATAAGGTACGTTCTTGTCACCTTTGCTTCCTCCCCCCACCTTCCCCCCTTCTTCTCTTTTTCTTTTCATTCCTTTTTTTGGTTTTTCAAGACAGAGTTTCAATATGTAGCTTTGCAGCCTGTCCTAGACCTTACTCTGCAGACCAGACTGGCCTCAAACACGCAGAGATCTGCCTGCCTCTGCTTCCTGAGTGCTGGGATTAAAGGGGTGTACCACCATCGCCCAGCTAGAACAATTAATTTCACTCCCATGAAAACCTACAATAAGCTCCACAACTATACTCAACATATGACCAATAGCTGGCATAAGGACTTGGCCTCTTTCATCTTTCTTTTTATCTTTATAGATCTTTTCTGGCATTTTAAAGATTTTATTGTTAAGCGTGCATGTGTCAGGAGATATATGAACATGAGTGCAATTGTCCAGAGGAGGCACTGAATCCCCTGGAGTTGGAGTTACAGTCAGTTAATGTAAATGTTAGGAACCAAATTTGGGTCCTCTGGAAAAACAATGAGGAATCTTAACTGAGTCATCTCTCCAGCCCTTCTTGGGTATTTCTCTGTGTAACAGCTCTGGCTGTCCTAGAACTCACTATGTAGACCAGGCTGCCCTCAAACTCAAAGAGACCCACCTGCTTCTGTATCCCAAGTACTGGGATTAAAGACATGTGCCACCACCACCTGGCAAAAAAGTACTTTTAAATGCAAAACGTGAGGTACATGGCCTTACAAGGGGAACTGTGTAGAAGGAGTGGCAGGCCGCATTCCTGCTCACCGCCCGGCTAGCTTTACCAAAAATAATTACACGGAAACTGTATTCATTTAAACACTGCCTGGCCCATTATCTGTAGACTCTTATTGGCTAACTCTTACATATTGATCTAACCCATTTCTAATAATCTGTGTAGCTAAGTAAAAAAAAAAGTGTAAGAGTTGGGGGTATAGTTCAATTGGCAAAATGCTTACCTAGAAATCCTGGATTCAAACCCAAGCACCACATAACACCAAGATGGTGGTATACACTCAAACCTCCAACACATAGGAGGTGCAAGCCAAAAGATCAGTAGTTCAAGGTAAGTACTATTACTAGCACTGAGGTTTGTTGTCTACATTAGACATGAAAAGACACACTAAATTTGAGATTAACAATATACACTTTCTTTTTACTTAGCCCTTAGGTAAAGAACTTAATTTGCAAGGCTGGAGAGATGAGTCAGTGGTTAAGAACACTGGCTGCACAGCCAGAGGACAAATTCAACTTCCAATATCCACATAAGAATTCACAGCCATCTCTAACTCCAGTTTCAGGGGGATCCGTCGCCCTCTTCTGGCCTCCCCAGGCACCATGGACACAGACATACTTGGAGGCAAAACACACCATCAATCCCTTTAAAAATTATTTATTTTGGTTTTTTGAGGCTGAGTTTTTTTACTCTGTGTATCCCTGGCTGTCCTGGAACTTGCCCTGTAGACCAGGCTGGCCTCAAACCCAGAGATTCACCTGCCTCTGCCTCCCCGAGTGCAGGGATTAAAGGTGTGCACCACCACCACCCGACAAAATACACACATTAAAAAAAAAAAAAAAAGGCCAAAGCCTGAAGTAAGTGACTTATATAACTCTGACTAGGTTTGTTCCTTCCAAGACCCCTGGGAGCTGTACACTAGTGATGTTCCCAGAAATAACTGACTTTTCTGGAAACAGAGTCTTACTATGTAGTCCAGAGTGGCATGAAACTTGCTATATAGTTAAATATGCAGTCATTTGGCCACAGCCTCCAGCATCCTATGTGATAGGATTATAGATCCACACCAACCTGCCCACAAGGCACTCTGACATGGGGTTTGCATGCCACATTCTTGTTTGGTGTTACTTTTTAGACCAGTGCTTAGGATCTCCTTTAACATCGCCCTTCTAAAGTGTACTGCTGTCCACCTTAAAGTCTTCTAGCTAAACTGGTGCAGCGGTGTCTACTCAGCTGTGGAAATGCTGTCACGTTAGCAGAGATTAGAAACCCTGGCCCAGAGCCAATTCCAGCCTGCTGCCTATATTTAGAAACAGAGCTGAGCTGGAGGGCTGGCTCAGAGCACCTGTTGCTCTTGCAGAGGACTCAGATTTGATTCCTAGCACCTACGTGGCAGCTTTCAACCACCTGTAACTCCAGTTCCAGGGCAATGCTCTCTTATGACCTTCTTGGGCACTAGACATTCACATGTTGTACACACACACATACAAGCAAAACATTTATATGAGGCTTAGTAATTAAGAGCACTGAATTATTTTTCAGAGGACCTGGGTTCAATTTCCAGTCCCCACATGGCAGCTCACAATTGTCTTTTTTTTTAACTCCAGTTCCAGGAGATCCTATACCCTCACACAGATATACATGCAGGCGAAACACAATGCACATAAAATAAAAATAAATAAATAAATCATTAGCGTTGGTACGGTGGTGTATACATTTAATCCCAGCTCTCAGGAGGCAGAGGCAGGCATATCCCTTATGAGTTTGAGGCCAGCCTGACCTACAGATCACGTTCCAGGACAGCCAGCACACAAAGAAACCCTGTCTTGAAGGCATCCACTGATGAGCTTCCTTGTAACCAGCATACCTTAGATATGCAGCTTCTGTCTTCTTCACGTACGGCTGCAGACCCAGACTTCAATTTAGGTGACAAATATCTTTTAAAAAAAAAAAGTTAAAAGTTTACTAAAACTTGAAAGCTTTGAAAAAATTCAATGCTAAAGGTAGATTGAACCACTTATGTCTAAAGGTTGCATGTTTGCTGGCTATTTAACTTACTGGAGCAGATTACATCTCCAGGCCTCAGGTCAACTGAAACCTGAAACCGTGAGTACTCCAGGACAGTCAGAGTGCCTGGTGAGCAACTGGAGATTCCTGCTTCCTGCCTAGCAATGCAGAGGGTAAAATGGGGGTAGTGGTGGGTTCAGTACAGTATTTTGGTGTAAAAATAGAATAGGAAGAAAAGGTCATATTAATATCTCATAATTCTTGGATAGGATTTAAAAGGCTGATAGGATCAAATAATAGAGACCACAAAGTTTCTCAAAATTAATGAAAGTATCATTTTAGGCTGGGAGTGGTGATGCATGCTTTTAATGCCAGCACTTGGGAGGCAGAGACGGGAAGATCTCAGTGAGTTCAAGGCCAGCCTCACCTATAAAGAGAGTTCCAGGACAGGCTCCAAAGCCACAGAGAAACCCTATCTCTAAAAACAAAAACAAACAAAAAAACAAACAGTTTACAGCTGGGCAGTGGTGGTGCATTCTTTTAATCCCAGTGTTCGGGAAGCAGCAGGCAGACCTCTGAGTTCAAGGGCAGTCTGTTCTAGAGATAGCCAGGGCTACACAGAGAAACCCTTTCTAGGAGTAGGGGGGAGTTTATGGACGAATAATAACATACACATGTAAGAACCATATGAATCAGTAACAGGAAAGGAATATCACTAGAAAGGACTAAGGTGAATCACATACAATTTTTTTCTGTGTGTATGTACAATATTTTTTCTTTTATTTTTGAGGTTATAATTACTTAATTTTGACATGCCAAAGTAGGTGGGGGAAAGCCCACAAGGCCCCAATCCTAAACAAAGAACACACACACACACACACACACACACACACACACACACACGCGCGCGCGCAATCAAGGACTGCCAAGAATGGGAAAAATAGTCTTTACCAGGGAAGAGACCAATAATTGGTTACCTAGTACCAAATGGTCAACCCTGAAAAGATGCATTCAAGTAATATACAGACTGAGCAGGTTGGATTTAGGAATATATATGTATATAAATAAATGCACATCAATGAAACATTTAATTAATACAATTAATGAAAAAAGAGGCCATGAATTTCAAAGGAAGCATGGAGAAGTACATGAGAATGTTTGGAGGGAGGTTTTCTTTTTTATTGTTGAGACTAGGTCACATAATATACATACACAGCCTTGGTTAACCTGGAGATCCTTATATAAACCAGCCTTGAATTCAGAACCCCAACTGTCTCTGTCTTAAAAATGTGAGGAATAAGGGCATGTGCCAACATGCCTGGAATTTGTGTAAATATTTTATATCGTAATCCAGAGGGTTATTCTGACATGCAGAAATTCCATAGGAAATACTAAAGATTGGTGCAATTTAAAGTATACATGTGCCGAGCATGGCGGTACAGGTCTTCAATCCCAAAACTTGGGAAGCAGAGAAAGGCAGACCTCTGTGAGTTCAAGGCTAGCCTGAGCCTGACAGAGCAAGTTCCAGAGCTATACAAGAGGAACTTGTCTCAAAAAAGAAAGAAAAAAAAAGGGGGGGGGGAATAAAAAATTCCTTTTTTATTGAAGGAATAAAAAAATTCCTTCAAAAAAGCTTAACACATATATACATACTGCATGGTTCTATGGTGTTGGGGGGGGGTGTCTGGTTTTATAAAGTTCCCTCCCTATGGAGCCTCTTCTTCATCTCTCCTTAAACTAGATTTCAGTTTCTCATCTCTTATTACTTATTATTATGTGTGTATACACCAAGGACTACTTTGTGGAGTCAGTTCTCTCTCCACCTTTACATGGGTTCTAGGGCTCTAACACAGATTGCCAGGTTCGTACGCCAAGTACTTTTATCTATTGAACTATCTTGCCAGTCCTCATCTTTTACATTAAAAGATTTCTTGCCAGGTGAGGTAGCACACAGCTTTAATCTCAGCACTCAGGAGGCAGAGGCAGGCAGATCTCTCAATCTGAGCCCAGCCTGGTCTACAGAGTGAGTTCCAGATCAGCCAGAGCTACAGCAAGAAATCCTGTCTCAAAAAAAAGAAAAAAGAAAAAAAAAAAAGAAAGAAAATATCATTGAAGGGAAGAGGAACAATCTGCTATGCCCCTAATTTCTCTAAGACATTTTTTCTCTCTTTTTTTGTTTTGTCTTTTTATTGATTTTTACTGAGCTCTACATTTTTCTCTGCTCCTCTTCCCTAAGGTCCCCATGCTCCCAATTTACTCAGGAGATCTTGTCTTTTTCTACTTCCCATGTAGATTAGATCCTTGCATATCTCTCTTAGGGTCCTCATTGTTGTCTAGGTTCTCTGGGATTGTGATTTGTAGGCTGGCTTTCATTGCTTTATGTTTAAAAACTACTTATGAGTGAGTACATATGATAATTATCTTTCTGGGTCTGGGTTACCTCATTCAAAATGATATTTTCTAGCTCCACCCATTTTCCTAAAAATTCAAGATGTCCTTTTTTCCTGCTGTGTAGTACTCCATTGTGTAAATGTACCACATTTCCTTATCCATTCTTTGGTCGAGGGGCATTTAGGTTGTTTCCAGGTTCTGACTGTGACAAACAAAGCTGCTATGAACATAGTTGAGCACATGTCCTTGTGGCATGATATTATGGCTGTTCTTAACAACAGAAAGAACAAAGGAAAGGCTTATATTCTGTGTTGGTTGCCAGTGATGGAACATACAAGGACAGATCCCAATCTTTGACTCCTGACCAGTAAAACTATCTGTAACTTGGCACAGGTGTGTTTTATGGTTTTGCACTTATGGACCCCACCACCGCTTCTGCTTGGGGTTGCCAGGAGAAACAAGGCCAAATCCTTGTCTTGCAGCCCTGATCCATCCATGTCCCGCTTATGTGGTAATTTATTAAAGACTTTTGAACTCATAAGTCTCTCCTTCCTCGTGGCGCACAATGGACATCAAGACAGGGTTTCTCTGTGTTAACAGCCCTAGCTGTCCTGAAACTAGCTTTGTAGACCAGGCTGACCTTGAACTCACTACATACCTGATGGAGACCCAGTGCTGTGGAATAATCCTTCTGTACATTGTGAAAATGTGTTGCTTTCATTACTGATTAAAGAGCTGATTGACTGACAGTTAGGCAGAGAAAATACTGGAGTCAGATGAGTCACAAGAGACGGAGAGGGAGCAAGACATGCTTAGAGGACAGATAAAACCACGAGTTTCAGGGCGGCACATAGATTAATAGAAATACTTAAATTGTAAGAGCTAGTTAGTAATAAGCCTGAGCTACTAGCCAAACATTTATAATTAATATTAAGTCTCCAATGGCTGTGGGGACAGGAAAACTCCACCTACAATCTTAGATCAGCTCCCAGTTTGGCCTTTAACTGTGGCTCATACCCATCCACAAGTCCAGTTCCAGATCCTGGGATCTAATGCCCTCTAGGACACCAGGTACACATTTAGTGCACTTACATACAATGCATCCTAGGACACCAGGTACATATTTAGTGCACTTACATACAATGCACCCTAGGACACCAGGTACACATTTAGTGCACTTACACACATACAGACAAAACACTCAAACACATAAAAAAAATCTTTAAAAAACAAAAGTTCATTAACAAAACTTGATGAATTGGTGATCAGTATGAACAAAACCCAAAGGCATACAGTAGCTATCAATGGATAAATGGCAATCATACTCACTTACTTCTGAATATCTCCAAAATTTTTTTGTTTGTTTGTATTTTTCTTTTGTGACTTGTTTGTGACTGCATCTGATTTTCTGGAACTCGAAGGAGAAGTCAAGACATTTTTCTCGTAGTTATTGTTCTTCAGTCACAAGAAAACAATACAAAGCCATTATTAACGAGAACTTTATGAAAAAAAGCTTTCAATTCTATAAACTCAAAATTCTTAACATTTTTCAAACACTGAATTTTTTAAGTTCTTTGAAGAATACTGAGCATGTACAAACTTCATTCTCCTTACCTAGACTTTATTTTGCAATAGGCATTCGCATAGCATTTACATCATATTCCAGATGATAAGACATGATTTAAAGTCCATGGAAGGAGGCAATATGGTTCAGTGGCTAAGGTGTTCACGCTAAGCCTGACAACCTGAGTTCCATCTCGGGACCCATATGACAGAAACAGAACCAAAAGATGCTGTGGTACATATGTGTACACACACACACACACACACACTCACTCATCAAATACATAAATGTAATAAACATAAATACACAGGAGGATACATTTGGGTTATACACAAAGCTGTGCCATTTTATGTAATATCTGACCACCTTTAGATTTTTTTAAAATATTATTTATTTATTATATATACAACATTCTGCCTCCATGTATGCCTGCATTCCAGAAGAGGTCACAAGATCTCATTATAGATGGTTGTGAGCCACCATGTGGGTGCTGGGAATTGAACTCAGGACCTCTGGAAGAGCAGCCAGTGCTCTTAACCACTGAGCCATCTCTCCAGTCCTAGATTTTTTTTTTTAATACGCATTGGTGGTTTGCTAGCATGTTTGTCAGGTGAGGGTGTTGGATCCCCTGTCACTGGAGTTACAGATAGCTGTGAACTGCCATGTGGGTGCTGGGAATTGAACTCGGGTCCTCTGGTAGAGCAGTCAGTACTCTTAACCATTGAGCCATCTTTCCACCCTCTACCTTTAGATTTTTATATACAAGGAAGATCCCAAAACTAATTTATATACTGAGGGATGCCTATATAAACAAAATTAAGTAATTCAAGTTTGCCTAAATTAAATACATTTGCTATTATATACACAAAATAATACTATATATATATATATATATATATATGTGCATGACACACACAAATACACTGTCCCTCAAAGAAATGATGATACTAATTAATCTAGCTGATAATCTCATTGTTTTGGTTGTTAATAAAGATTTATTTATTTTACCAGCACATAAGTCTGTGCACCACATGCATTCCTGGTGCCCTAGGAGTTCAGAAGAGGGTACTGGACACCCTGGAACAGATGGTTGTAAGCTGTCATGTAGGTGCTGAGAATCAAACCTGGGTTCTCTGTAAGTATTGAAAGTATGCTTAACCACTGAGCAATCTCGCCAACCCAACAGTTTCATGTAATTGTAGCTACCTTATTCTAGTGGACTTAAAGATCCAAGGATATATCTAGAGCAAAAGTTATGCAGAAATAAGCCATAATTGCTCACCATCTCTAAAATTTACATTAAACAAAAAATTACCCTAAAAGTTCAATAAATCTACTCAGCCCTCGTGAAACTAGAATTAGACTGAAAGTCAAATTCCTCTCTTCAAATGTTTCCATCTTGATTCTGCTCATTATCCACTTAATATACTGGGCAGTCTCTTTCCTCCCATCTCTCTATGGTTTGTTTATAGACAGGGCTTCAAGTATGTAGCTCAGGCTGGCCTTGCCTCGGTCTCCCAAAGTGCAAGGATTAACCCTCAGCTGGTTAATTTTTTAAAAATTCCTGATTGTGTATCTTCCTAAATTGCTACTCAAACTGAGAAAGGATACAATAAAAAGGATATCACAGAGCTTAAGAGTATATCCTTAATGGTAAGATGCATTAAAAAAAGAAAAATTCTAGATATACCTCATTTTGGTGAAATATATTCTCAGACATTTTTCAAGAGTAGGGGAGTTAACTCAGGGGCTCTGTAACCTCAGTATTTCAGATACCCTAGGTCTCATTGGAGACAGTACTCACTATGGCTCATTCCCAGAGAATCCAAGTCAGTTTGGTTTAGAGTAGGTATGAGAACTTGTACCTTATTTGTAAAATATTTAAAATTATTTATTGATTTCTTCATGTATGGTGTTTTTAAAAAATATTTATTATGTATACAATATTCTGTCTGTGTGTTTGCCTGCAGGCCAAAAGAGGGCACCAGACTCCATTACAGACGGTTGTGAGCCACCATGTGGTTGCTGGGAATTGAACTCAGGACCTTTGGAAGAGCAGGCAATGCTCTTAACCTCTGAGCAATCTCTCCAGCCCTATGTATGGTGTTTTGTCTGTGTGCAACATGTATGTAAGGTGCTGGGGATCAAACCAAAGTCCTCTGAAAGAGCAGCCAGTACTGTTAATGCTGAAACGTCAGTCTAGCCCCCAAGAGTTTGTATTTTAAAAGAAGCCTAGGAGGGCTCAAGGTATATATAGCTCAGTGCCATAGCCTGTGCTAAGGCTTTGGCTTCAATCTACCAGGCTCTTTTGAGCCAGTAGGTTCAGGAACCCTTAGATTTTAGTGTATGTATGTTTTGCCATCTTGTCTTTCATTGTTCTTTATAAACAATAACAGTAAGATAAGGAAATCCAGGTTCAATATATTATTTAAGAATTAGGCTAGGAGGACCAGTGAGATGACTCAAAATTAAATGTACTTGCTACCATGTCTGGATACCTGAGATTGATCCCCAGAACCCACACAGAAGAAGGACTAACTCTTGTAAGTTGTCCTTTGACTGCCACTCACATAGTGCCCACACATTAAATAAATTAAATGTCAAAATAAAATCAGGCTGAGGGTATAGCTTACTTGTTTAGCATACCCAAGGTATGGGATTTAATCTGTACCAATTATAAATATTTCCCCAACTGAAGTATCAAGTAACAATACACAAAAATGTATTAGTCATAAAAGTTTGTTTGCTATTAATTTTTTTGTTTTGTCTTGTGGTTAGAGAGCTGACTCAGAAGTTAAAGCCGCTCACTGCTCTTCTAGAGGACCCGGTCACTTCCTAGCACCCATGGCCCAGAATCCCCAGCTCTAGAGGAGCTGATGTCCTCTTCTGGCCTCTGGGGACATCCAAACACATGTGACATATACTCCCCCCAAATCTTTAAAAATAAAATACTTTTTTTTCTCCTTAAGTAGAACAAAGATATCAAAACAAAACAAAACCCTTTAATTGTTGTGAAGCTTCTTCAGGAAAACCAAAGCGAAAGTGATGGGGGAATCTGTCAAAACTTACAATACTGATGCTGAGCCTCCTTGCCAGTTCTTCATCCCCCTTCAGCTGTTCTTCCATCTCACTTCTCCTTCTTTCCGTCTGTCTTTTTTCTTCCTCTTCTTCTTCCGCCAACAACTTCTGTATGTATTCCTCACTGGCTTTGTTTTCTTCTTCCTTGCTGGCTTGTCGTTCAGCCTCCACCTTAAAAATAATAAAGGACATTCTTGAGCACTGGAGAGATGGCTCAGTGGTTAAGAGCACTGGCTGCATTTCCAAAGGATCTGAGTTCAATCCCCAGCACCACACAACAGCTCAAAACTGGCTGTAACTCCAGTCCCAGAGGGATCCGATACCCCCTTCTGATCTCCACAGGTACTGCATATACACCCTGCAGAGACATACATGCAGACAAAACACCCATATGCATAAAATAAAAATAAAAGATTAAAAATAATATAATAAAAGACATTCTTTCTGAAAATTTTTAACACACTCATTTCACAACAAATGTAAAAAAATGGAAGCAAAAATTTCAAATCTCCACAGGCAAACAGCAGTTCAAAGGTCCTACCTCAGGAAGCCCACCCCAGCCAGTCCAACAAAGGTTTGGTCAAAGACTCAAATCTCTTGCTCTCAGTTCTTACAACAATTCCCACCACAGTACCACACAGACACTCAATATTTCCTCAGCTCATGGAAAGTCACACGCTAAGGCAGACCTAACTGCCTCTGCTGCTGCTCTCTTTAGCACAGCAGACAGATTTACTAAAGAGAGAAAACTTCTGAACAGAAGGAGAGCCAAGAGAGGAATACCCTCGACCTAGCTGCTGTTGCTTTTTTTTTTGTTTTTTATTCTTTTTTAAAAAAAGAAAGCAAACTATCTTTTTCATTATACATACCAATCCAAGTTCCCACTCCCTCCCCTTCTCCCGTTCCCTTCCACCCCACCCCCATCCAATCCTCAGAGAGGATAAGGCACATTGCTTTGAGGATGGTCCAAGGCCCTTCCTACTACATCTAGGCTGAGCAAGGTTTCCATCCAAAAAGAATAGGTTTCCAAAAGCCAGTAGGGATAAATGCTTTTTTGTTTTTTAAATATAGGGTTTTTCTGTGTAGCCCTTGCTGTCCTGGAACTCACTCTGTAGACCAGGCTGGCTTCAAACTCACAGAGATCCGCTTGCCTCTGCCTCCTCCTGAGGCATGGACTAAAGGCATTCACTACCATGTTTGGCATTTGTTTATTATTTATTTATCAATATTATTTGTGTGTGGAAACAGGAGGATCAGTGGGGCTTGTTGGCTTCCAAACAAGCTGGCGGGGGGAGAGGTGCAGGAAGGCAAATCTCAGGTTCAGGATACATTTTGTCTAAAAGGAGTGGGCAGAGAAATGACAGAGGACATCCAACTCCCTCTGTGCACACCCACTGCCTTTCTAACTAACAAAACCTTGACTTTAGGTGGCTGCGGAGATGACTGGCTCAGTGTGCTAAAGTACACGCTATTCAAGCATAAAGAACTGAGTTTGGATTCCCAGCAGCACACAAAAGGCGAATGTGTCAGCATCCATCTGAATCCCAGGTGTTCATTCATAGGTTAGCCAGATAGGCTCCAGGTTCCACGTGAGATCGCAGTTCAAAAAACTAAGTTGAGAACGGTCAGAAAAGATACCAGAAGTCAATTTCTGGACTCTACATGCATGGGCACAGATGTATAATAAAAAAGTCAAGACTAGCCAGGTGGTGGCAGTGCACGCCTTTGGTTCTAGCACTGGGAGGCAGAATGTGGATCTCAGTGAGTTCAAGGTCAGCCTAGTCTACAAAGTGAGTTCCTGAATGGTCAGGAATGTTACACCAAGAAACCCTGTCTCAAAAAACAAAAAAAAAAAAAAAAGAAAAAGAAAATCCAAACATCTGACTTTAGCTGGGTGTGGCAATACACACCTATAATCTTAGCACTTGAGAGGCTGAGGCAGGTGAACTGCTGCAAATTCAAGGCCAGCTGGGTTAGATCATGAGATCCCATCTCCAACTCCTTCTGGAGTCTTTCTGGAAGTCATATTGGGTGAGTAAAATGTTCCAATTCTATTAATGTTTAGAAGCAGCTGCTGCAGCTAGTTCAAAATGAATGCTCACCACAACAGCTAGTGTGCAGTCGGTAAGGCCTAGTTCTCTTCCTCTAGAATTTACTCCTCAGCTCTGTGCTTTGTTCTTTGGCAGCTTTTGACCCTAAGCTCATTGTGAATCCTCTTCCCATTCATTCATGTCTTAGATGATCCCTCCATGAATAACAAACTTGTCATCTGCATAGAACTGAGCTTCCTGTAAGTCAACAGCTCTTTTATTTGTTAGATCAGCCTTATTTCATAATAAAACTAATACCATATTAGAGCTTGTTTGCTTCTGAAGTTTTATTCCCTCCCCATCACTGGCCAAAAAAGAGAGAGAGAGAGAGAGACCCCTTTTAGGATGCGCACACACAGTGTGCTCCTCTGTAGTATACTGGTGCTGAGCTAAACACACAACCCAATTTCGTATTTATGAAATTGTCTGTATGTCACCAACACAGATTTTGGGTTAGAAAAGCAGCCCTCAGTGATACTCTATCTTGAAAATCAGGAAATTGGCCTTTAACGAAAAGAAGCACTGGGCTTGCTTCCACAACAGCAGGCCGTCCCACAAGTACAAATTTGAACTGGTGTATTTTATTTCTAGCACTTGGCCTATCGAGTCTTATTTCTGAGTTAGTAATAATTCAGGCTCCTAAAGGAACTACCAGGACACAGGGATCACTTATTTTCTTTGTGGAGAAAAGCCAATTATTAACGCAAATGTAGCTAGTCACCTATACTATCAGCACTGAGGAGGCTTACGGCAAGAGGATCACCAGTTAGAGGGCAGCCTAGGTTACACAGAGACAGACAGTCTGTAGGACAGACTGAGATACAGAGCAAGACCCTGTCTCAAAAACATAAGGGTCCTCCTAGTATCACACTAGCGAAGCTCAAATGCTGCACTGGAAGTTGAACCTTTACCCACCGTGTGCTTCAGTCACCCCTCTATACTTACGCCCCTCACTAAACCCACAATCTACCACTTCTTCACCATTCTTTAAAGGTTAAAAACTCCAAGGAAATCAAGGAAATTTTTATACTTAAATGCTTAGGCATCACTAACTACAGATAGTAAGTACCTAATATCTACACAGCAAGATTCTATCAAAAAACAAAAAGCACCCCTATTACATATAAGTAATAGAGGCTAGTTTATTATTGTTGTTGAATAAATTAAAAAGGAATCTTGAGCCAGACAGATGGCACACTGGTTAAGAGCACTGGCTGCTCTTCCAGAGGACTTGGGTTTGCTTCCCAGCACCGACATGACAGTTTACTAACTGTAGTCCAGAGAATCTTATGTATGCCCTCTTCTGGCCTCTAATGACATTAGGCACACGAGTGATGCACAGACACATAAGCAGGCAAGACACCCATATACATTAAATAAAAATAAACAAAAAAAGGAACCTCAAGGTGCACTTTGGTGTATGCTTTTAATCCAGTAATCGAGAAGCAGAAGCAGGATCTCTGTGAAACCATGCCTTTAAACAACAAAACCACTTTTAAAACCAGGTGTGATGTCACCATTCAAATGACCCCACCACTGAGATGAAGGCAGGAGAATCATAAGTTCAAGGTCATCCTGGGTCACCAAAGAGTTCCATGATATTATCTTAATAGGGGCAGGGAGGGCTATGAAGTACATTTAAAAATTACTAGCATTTTAGTACATGATAGTTATGTAAACATACTATATATAAATCTGAGATTTCTGAGATTGAAAGCATAACAAAGACATTTTCAACAAAATAAAAAAATCAAAAACTAAGCTATTTCATACTCACCTTGCTTATCTCCTCTTCATACTCTCGTCTCAGCTCCCCAGGTTTACTTAACAGACGAATTGGCTGGTAGTCATCAACTGTTTCACATGGGGAGGAAAACAGTATTAGGGCAACAGAACTTTATGATCAACTTTGTGAGGCGTGTGCATGCACACACATGCAAGGGTGAGCGCACACGTTCACACACACACTCCATAAAAATAAAAAGCCAGGGGGAGGGAGGGGTGTATGCCTTTAATTCCAGCACTCAGGGGAGGCAGAGGCAGGCAGATTTCTGAGTTCAAGGCCAGCCTGGTCTACAAAGTGAGTTCCAGGACAGCCAGAGCTGGTACACAAAGAAATCCTGTCTTGAAACCAAACCAAAAACACCTGCAACTTTATTGCCTCTAAAATGATTCTATTTCCAAATAAAACTCTATCCTGAAGCACTGGAGTTTAGAATTGGAATATAGCTCAACACAGTATCCAATTCCTCCTCTCAGAAAAGGCTCAGCTGGGCATGGTGGTTTGTGGCTCACGCTTCTAATTAAAACAGGAATCTGAGGCACGAGGATCACGAGAGGAAAAAATAATTTTTAAAAATTGAGACAATTTCAAGCTTCCAACTTGTGATCCTCGTGCCTCAGTTAAGATATGGTCACTGGCATGAATCTTAATTATGACTATTAACCTTGTAAATACGGGGCAAACTTGAACACAAAGACAAATATGCACAGACGGGAGATGGTATCAAGACATGCAGAGAGGGGGCCTGGAGAGATGGCTCAATGGTTAAGAGCACTTGTTGCTCTTGTAGAGGATCTGGGTTTGATTCTCAGAACCCACATGGAAGCTCACAACCAACTATAACTCCAGCTTCAAGAGTCAACATTCTCTTCTGGTGTCTGCAGGCACTAGGCATGCACATGGTACAATACATACATGGCGGCAAAGCACCAATACAAAGCTCAAAAGACCACAAAGAGGTGAGGAAGAGTTCTGTGTACAATTTCAAAAGGCAAAGACCCTGGTTACATCTTGATGTCTAGCCTCTAAAACTCTTGGGAAATTTTTCATTTTTTTAAAAAATTTTTTATGATTTATTTATCTTTATTTTATGTGCACTGGTGTGAAGGTGTCAGATTCCCTGGAACTGGATCTTCAGACAGTTGTGAGCTGCCATGTGGGTGCTGGGAATTGAGCCCGGGTCCTCTGGAAGAGCAGTCAGTGCTCTTAACCACTGAGCCATTTCTCCAGCCCCGAAATTTTTCATTTTTAAAAGTCATCTAGCTTGTGGCACTTTGTCATTCTGGCTTTAGGAAACTAATATATAAATATCAGGGTCTTCTTTCTTTCTTTTTTTTTTTCCAAGACAGGGTTTCATTGTAGCCCTGGCTGACCTCAAACTCAGAGATCCACCTGCCTCTGCTTTCCAAGCACTGGGATTAGAAGCAGGTGCCACCCCACGAACCACCCCCACACTTGCTTTCTTTCCTTGAAAAGAATATTTATTTTTATCCATACATGCATATGCCTGTGATTTTATGTGCAGTACGTCCATGCAGAAGAGGGCAGGACCTCAGTCCTCAGCAGCTGGAGTTATAGAGTTATAGGTGCCTGGTGAGAATGCTGGAATCTGAACCCAGATCCTCTGGAAGAAGACATCTCTTAACCCATTTTGCTTTTCTCAGATGATCTTGCTACACAGCCTAGGCTGGTCTCAAACCTGCAGCAGTCCTCTTGCCCCAGACTTCCATGTGGTTCCATAGGGCTACAAATGCTTGCTGTCTGGTTCCAATTTTTATTATTTTTATTACATTGATTAACTCTGGGGTGGGGGGGAAATGCACCATGGAGTTTGAGTGGAGGCCAGAGGACAACCTTCAGAAGGTGGCCCTCTTTCTACCTTGTCGGGTTCCCTTGGGTCATACTCACTTGTCAGACCTAGGAGAACCTTACTGGTTTCAATGTGTCTGGATTTCCCCCCCAAAGACATGGTCTCACTATGTAGACCAGGCTATCCTGGAACCTACTATGCAGACCAGGCTGGCCTGAACTAAAAAAAAAAAAAAACAAAAAACAAAAAAACCTCCTGCCTGCTTCTGCTTCTAGAGACGTGTGCTACATTGCCTGGCTCCATTTCACGACTCTTTTTTTTTTTTTTAATTTTTATTTTTGGTTTTTCAAGACAGGATTTCTCTGTAGCTTTTGGAGCCTGTCCTGGAACTAGTTCTTGTAGACCAGTCTGGCCTTGAACTCACAGAGATCCACCTGCCTCTGCCTCCTGAGTGTTGGGATTAAAGGTGTGTGCCACCACCACCCAGCTAACCTCACGACTCTTTAAACTATTTTAACTATTTTCTTGGCTTTCCTCACAGCTAACCCTTATTGCTGAACTTTAAAATCATCAAATTTCCAAGGTTAGGCCTGGGATGTAGTTAGTGGCTGAGTGCCTTGGAGTCAAACATGCACACAGGTTCACACAATGAGATTTTAAAAACGAGCCAGGCTGGGTGGTAATGATACACACTTTTAATCTCAGCACCCAGGTGGCAGAGGCAGGGGGATCTCTGTGAGTTCAAGGCCATCCTGAGTTATTAGAGTGAATCAGTCTAAAAGAAACAGTCAAGTGGTGATGGCTCACACTTTAAGAACAGCACTAGGGAAGAAGCAGTCTGAGAGTTCACAGAGACAGTAGTCAGTCTGAAGATTCGTAGAGACAGGATAGTCCCTTTGATCTAATCATTGGTAGAGGTAAAAACTCTCTAGTGGTTGGCTGCTCTGTTTCTCTGATCGTCAACATTAACCTCTATATCTCACTCCGGGTTTTTTTTTTTATGACGAACGATTAGAATTCATGCTACACAGAGAGTGATAAATAGGAATCCTTTGCTTGCTTTGAAATTTTGTTGGCGAATCAGTCAAGTTATCATTTCATAGTTACATTAATTTCAAGAGATACAGTTGAGAAATCCGCCACTATTAGGGAGTCAGAATATGATATATGAGACAAGCTAGCATCATGTACTTACTGATATAGTGTGCAGAAAAAAAAAAGGAAAAAACCACGTCTCTAAAACCCACCAATTTTGTTCCTGTAGCCACTACTGCTATGACAAAATGTCTCATAAACAATCTGAGAGAGGAAGATTGATCTTGGCTCATACAGAGGTTTGCACCCATGGTTTTATGCCCTGTAAAAGGTAGAAACATGGTGAAAAGGCTTGGTAAGGGAGAGCTGCTTACCGCAACAGCTGCCAAGAAGCAAAGAAAACAGAAGGAACCAGGAACAACATACACCTTTCAAAGGCACTCCCCGGGGAACAGTGTATTTCCTCCAGACAGGCTTCACCTCCTCCCATTTGGTATGAATTTATCAGTGGACTGGCCTATTGATGAAGTTAGTGCTCTCTTGATACAATCACCTCAGTAAAGACAGTTGGGAACAGTCTTCATAACACGTTAAAACTTTAACAATTCCTTCTAACGTGTGAACAGTATGTATATTCTGTTGTACACACACACACACACATTTAGTTTATACAGCCCTTGATGACACTTGGGCACTTCTACTTTTTTCTAATTTTTATATGCTATATGTTTTACAAGTTTGTACTAACATGTTCTCATATTACAAAGACAATTAAGATGAACCTTCCTTTCCATATTTGAAACCATCTGAAATTTGAAAATATCTGAAAACTTTCTATTAAAAAAACTTTCATTTGGATAACAAAAGGATAAATTCAGCACTTGGAAGGCAGAAGCAGGCAGAATCTCTGAGTTCGAGGCCAGCCTAGACTACAGAGTAAGTTCCACGACAGCCAGGGCTACACAGAGAAATTGTCTTGAAAAACCAAAAGAAAAAAAAAAGGCATCCTAAAATTTAACTACAATAAAAACGCTGCAGTTTAATAAGTTAGCTGTCTCTGGCAACATCCTCTTATGTTTTGATTCAGTTCTTCCATCTCTTGCTTTTTTCACCTTACCCCATGATCTTGCTTCCCTTCCCTGGACTGTTTTCTTCCTTTGGGTTCTCCAGGATAGGCAAGGTCTCCTTCCCTTCAGACATTCTTTTGTCTAGGGATTCTTGCTGACCCTCTATGATTTCTTTTCCACAAGTCATCCAAATGAGTATGAAATTGTAGTATCACCTTTATCTCTTGTGGTTTTCATTTGTACTTCCCTAATGACTAATGCTATGAAACATTAATTACTCTATTAACAATATTCAGGTGTCTTACTAGTGAGCTGGTAACATGAATATCATTAATGGAGTAATATCTAAATTCTTTGCCCACCTCCTTTCTTTTCTTTGAGACAATCTCACTATAACTTAGGCTGTCCTGGAACGTACTACTATGTAGCTCAGGCTGACCTTGAATTGAGCCTCTTTAGTGAGAGGATTAAAGAAATGAGCCACCTTACCCGACTACTTTGCCCACTTTTCATTGGATTCTTTAAGCTTTTTGAGACAGATCTCACTAGTCCTGGCTACACTGGGACAGCTGCTGCTGATCCCTGATTGATGAGTTTCTTTTCCAAGTGGGTTCTTTATTTTCCGGATGAGGTATTTTTTAACAGCGTCTCCAACATAGGTCGATGTGGCCAAGAATTTACAGTGACCCTCTTGCTTTATTTAGGTATTATTTTCTTGCCATCCATGATTTGCAGATACAGTCTTCTATTTTGTGGGTGTCGTTTGTTCTCTTGATATCTTGGCTATTTATTTATCAAGTGAACTTTTTTTTAAGAATAAGAAGCGATTTCTGAGAGTTGGAGGGATGACTCAGTAAAGAATGCGTACTGCTGTTCCCCTCGAGCAATCGTGTGTGTGTGTGTGTGTGTGTGTGTGTGTGTGTGTGTGACCAAAGTATCAAAATATATATATCCTACCCTCTCCCATCTTTGAAGGTGACTACTTCTCTCCTGTATATCCCACTATAACATCTCAAATGGATCCTCTCAGTGACTACAAGAAATGAGAGCTTAGCATACTTCATCTCAGCTCACGGTATAATACCAGCTTTTATAGTTTCTCTACTGTATACTTTTATTTTTGCCTTTGTTGTTTAGAGAGAGGATATTTCTATGTAGTTCTGGCTGGCCTGGAACTCCCTAAGACCTTTATCTCAAAGTTTTACTGACTAAGATTGTCTCCACAAAAGAAACTGAAGATCTAAATAAATGGAAAGATAAGTTTCATGGATACAAGGACTTTATAATAATTGGTAAAATCCCAACGTTCCCAAGCCGCTAAATTTAAATGCAGTCCAATCAAATTTCCAACAGGCTTTCAAAGACATTAACAAGTGGTTAGTATTTTTAACTCAAGAAACATCTGTAATCCCAAACTGGCGGATTAAGGTCATCCCCAGCTGCACAGCCTATTCAAGGGAAGCCTAGGCTCTAGGCTACAGAAGAATATTCTGGGGTTTTGTGGGGGCGGAGGGGTTGAGACAAGATATCTCTGTAGCTTTGGTGCCTGTTCTGGAACTAGCTCTTGTAGACCAGGCTGACCTCAAACTCACAGAGCTCCGCCTGCCTCTGCCTCCTAAGTGTTGGGATTAAAGGTGTGCACCATCACCCGCTGTTTCCTTTAAGACAAGGTGGAAAGCTGTTGCGTAGCCCCAGAGCTCACAAAGCACAGCAGGCTAACCTTGAAATCAGAGGTGACGTCCAGCCTCTGCCTCCCCACAACTGCAAGGGATTAAAAAAATGCAGGACCACACTCTGTTTTAAGAAGTACTTTAAATGGGTGACTTATTAGCATATGCTACGAAATGGGTTTTCTCATTTGTTATGTTTTAAGATTTATTGCTTAAAATGGTTACCAAGGCAAATTTTGTTTTGCTGTTGTTGAGACACAGTTTCTCTGTGTAACCCTCACTGTCCTGGAATTCTCTGTGGAAACGAGGCTAGCTTTGGACTCAGAGATCCGCCTGCCCCTGCCTCTCCAGTGCTGGGATTATAGGCGTGCACCATGCTCGGCCACGTTTTGTAATTAATTTTTTAAAACACAAATAGACGAGTACACCACAGACCATATCCAAGGCCCAGAAGCAAATAGAAATGGCTTTGTAACACAGGCAAAGTGCTAAAGACTAGGGACCAGTTTGTAGCCCTTTGTACCCCCAGAATGGAAGAGGTCAACGAAAAATGACTGAACTAAATAGTCCTCTTTTTTCTTTTCCGAGATAGGGTTTCTTTATGTCACAGCCCTAGCTGTCCTGGAACTAGCTCTTGTAAATCAGGCTCGCCTCGAACTCACAGAGATCCACCTGTCTCTGCCTCCCAAGTACTGGGATTAAAGGCATGCGCCACCACCGCCCTACTTTCCCTTCTTTTCTTAAAACAGAGAAATGACGGTTTCCTCACTAAACGATTTTGGGATTAAATAAGAAAAAAGAAAAGAAAAGAAACCAAATAACCTTGTTGACCTTACTCACCGATTTCCTTTGATTCTTGCCCAGAGACTCTAAGCTTGCATTCCTTTGCATAGTGTTTTTGGATAATCTCCCACAGGTCTTTATTGACAAGAGAATTTCTTCGGGTATGATATCGAGTCCACGAAGAGACTCGGCGGCGACAGAAGGGACAGCACAGGTTGGCCTTTTCAACAGTCAATTGAAAGCACGGGTTACAGAGCGTGTGGTTGCAAGGAAGGGTTACCGGCTCCAGTAGGATTTCCATACAGATTCCGCATTGACATTCAGCTAAGGAAGGGATGGCATCTTTGGATGCAGTCATCTTCATATGCTAACGAGGCCTACTCAACGTCAACACCTGGAAAGAAATCAGAGGCGTCTTTCAGCTCACCACCGGATGGAGAAAGTCAGCGAGCGGTTTGGTGGTTTAACCTGACACACAGCAGCGTGCTGGAACCCAGACGGGCTGAACTTCCCCGGGCCCGAGGCAAACAGGCGCTGTGATGTCAGGCGAACAGTTATGCCCTGCGTGCAGCAAAGGAATGAACGAACGTTCCTTCGGGAGCGCGGCGGCCTCGGGCCAGAGCGCGGTTCCGGCTCCCCGCGCCGCCGCCGGTAGGCTCCAGCGCCCCTTCTCACCAGGTGAGGACGCTTTTCGCGAGGCCGCCGGGCCCGCCAGGGCCGGAAGCCGGGAGACCGCCGCTCCAGGAGCACCCGGGAC